CGTAATGATTGATCCCATCAGATCTTCCTTTTTAGGCATTATCTCCGGGCAACATCGCCTCAGTACACTACACAAGAGCCCCAGCATTGAAGGAATATATATTTTCTGTGTACACAATGCATGTTGAGCCTATCAGGCCACTCAAAAGGTGTGCAAGTAGCGAATAAAAAATGCCCCAAGCTTCTGCCGGTTCACTGAATCGAACTCCCGCCAACTCGCACTCAGGCAGTTACCATATTTGGTAGTGGCTGTACCTACCCCTCCCCACCGATATAGTAATAATCCTTTTCATTCTTTCTCGACAACCGCTGGGCCGATTAGCCTCAAATAATTTTTCCTATACTCCCAAGAGTCTACATCACACATTGGAGACCCCATACAAGAAATTCGCATTTTTGAAGCCCCTTGGTGAGTCCCGCTGTGAGAATGCGAGGAACGTCTGGGTTTCCGAGACTAGGGGTGAAGAGTTGTCCTTCCAACGCATATGGGCCCCGCGCGCTTCCATCTGCGGCATGCTGCTCATACTTGGGTGGATCGCGTCGGGGATGGACCGTATGGATAGCGAGGAACCCGAGGTCATCCAAAACTCTCGGTGGAGCCTCAGGCAGGAGCTTCAGATGTCCGGGGGAAAATGGAACTTTGGAAAGGTGGAAATGAAATATTTGAAGGACAGTTTGGTATCGGTTCAGCTTACCGGTTCGAGCTTCGAAGGCTCACTGCAGTTGACACGGAGCTCTGTTAATGGCCATGGATTCGAATGTGCGCGAGTCCCTGGAGAGGGTGGCCACGGGTGGCGAGCGAGCGGCTACCAACAGACGATCTTGAGGATGAAAACTGCAGACCTTGGCTGGCGAGATCTTTGGGGAAACGGAGGAGGTAAGACTCAGCATCATCAATGGATATCGATGGTGTCGCGCAAAAACTCCTCGAAACACGTTTCTCAATAGCTAGTCATCTCAATCGCAAACGCGACCGCCAATTTTGAGAAACTACAAACCCATCAGCGCTCCTCCAAGTACATGGCTTAAAGGAAGCACTCACTCAAGCATATGGTCAAAGGAAAACTCGGGCGACACGTCAATCCGATCGTCAGCGGTGTGGATGTCTTGGGCTAGTCAGTCGGGTTCCAGACGTTTCAAAACTGGCAAAAGCTTACGCGGATTGGTGTTCTTCAACTGGGCCTCCAAAGGATGACACGACTGATAGCCCGCCCTAGTCCAGCTTATATGGTCAGTCCCACCCCTCGCGTAGACGTCTCTGACCCAGGGGATCTCGACTAGACGGAAGCACCCATGAGTAGGCGTATAGTGTAGAGCAAGAGCGAGGGGATTGTTTATTACTATATCGTTCGATGAGAAGAACGAGCAGATCCGAGAGGGCGGTGTCGGTCAACGTGCCAATGACGGCGATCTCCTCTCGCGTGCCGGCCTTGAGCCACGCCTATGGGAGATGAGTCTGGATAGAGCAGAAAGAGAATGACACACCGTCATATCGAATTGAATCATGCCTCTAACGGCCTTTTCTTCGGCTTCGTAGCGTGAAGCTATCGCCAGAGAACCACGAAGACCACCCTTTGATGCGTCGTGAACAGATGAACAGAGGTACAGAGCCCCTTCTTACCTCTTCCCCAGCATAGAAGTGAAACTCGAGCGGTGAAGCGGGGATGTAGTTCGCCACCAAAAGTCCTAACCGAGATCAGCGCTCTTGTCTTACCATGGTAAGAAACGAACCTCTAAACGCCTCGAGAATAGTAACAGTACCCGACCCGTCATCACCAGCACCTGGCGCACGAGCAGAAAAGTTTCCATAGTTCAGGCTGTCGATATGCGCTCCGAGAATCGTGGCAGGGTCTGAATCCACCGCACCGGGAGGTGTAATGCGCGCAATCTACGAGAACGTCAAGTCGACGGTGCGGTTGGATGAGAAATATATATGACTTGCAATGGAAATCTGCTTGAACGGATGCTGCACGGCCTCGACGTCGATCATGGCCTTCAACTCCTCACTGGCAAGCTCAGCCGTATAGGTCAAGATCTTGGCAAACAACCACTCCGAGCTCTCCTTCCCCGTGTCGGAGTCCCATGCCCGATTGTGGTAAGAAGTAAAATGCCAGAGGTTGGCTTTCAGCTCCGCAGTGGAGAGGTGAGGGAATACGGGCCTGACTAGGGTCGAATTTGGGGGTGGGTACGAAAAGTGCTGCTTTGGAGAGGACCCGAGGTGAGGGGTGTCGGTTCTACACAAGGCAATCAAGATTAATTAGGTGGTGGCACGATAGAATAACGCACATATCCATAAAGTCCCGACCCTGCGCTTTGAGCTCGAGTTTTTCTGCCTCTGTCATCCATTGCTGCTGAGCCGTGCCTTCCATGGGAAGAAATTCGACCAGGCAGAGTCCATAATGCACATTGGGCTTGAAGGAAAGTTCTATCGGGATGGATCACTTCCCCAACTTGTTGGTGACTCCCGATCTGACTCACCTTGAGAAGTCTCGAAGGGGACTTGGCCACTCTGCGCTGTCGCCAAAGCGGCGAGAGCAAGTGTGAGGGTAAAGGCTAGTAGTCCCATCGGGGACGGGACGGAGATTGTGGCCGCCCTTTAATAGAGTTGACTACGCAACTGCGCCGCACGGTGCTGCCAGACAAGTGCCAGAACTGCGCAATGCGCATCCAAGATTCCAACTTCTTGATGGCGGACCGGGCCGCCACTCACGCTGTCTCCAGAGTTTGGCACATTGTCCACAGGACGCGCACACCTGAATGCAGACGCTTCTCAATGAAATCCTTCTCAAGCCAGTGGAAAGAGCCACAAGAAAGTACAAGGTGGTGGATCGAGTTCAAGCGGGATTTGTTTGGATGGCAAACACGATCATTTCTTGATTAGCACCGCTTCGGAATTTACTGACTCCTCCCCGTCATCTCAGGATCTCAGTACCCCGCGCAGAGATTCCACACTTGGCCCTCTTCCTTAGCACGCAAATTTGACTATTGGTGCACCGCTTGTCCTCGAGGCTTGGCCAGCCGTCTCAAAAGGCCCACTGAGTTCCAACTTCCCAGGTCCCTATTGTGAACCCCAACCGGTTTGACCATCGATGGGCTTTCAAACAGCGTTACCAGGCCTCGACAGGCCTCGACCCGGGCCTCGACCCGGGCCTGCCCTCGACTCCCGATTCGAGACTCGCTTTTTTTGCGGCCTCCCTGTCCGATCCACGACAAGTATATAAGCACTCATGCTGCCGCTACCGCATCCTTATTCTCATCTCGAGCCGCGACCGCAGGCGCAGTCTCTTCTGCGTCGTCTTGCGTAGAACGCCGGGCGGGCTGCATACATATTACACCCTCTTTTGTCTTCATCGACATCATCCATACGCAAACACCTGTTCTAAAATTCCGGGCTATCGGACGAGATCGTGGGCCGGTCAGACGGATTCGACTTGCCGTTGTCTCCGCCGCGACACGGCGTTCGATAACATCCTATAAGTGTCTGCCTCTGGCTCTGGGCAGGAATCCGGGAGTTGACTCGACTTGGACTCGACTAAACCGCATCTTCTATGGAGATTTGGAACTTACCTCAAGTTTATCGTCGGCTGGGTTCTCTCGGCGTTCCGGGCGCTTCCTCACTCACCATTCATTGTGCGGTCGTCAGTATCTGATCACACTCATACGGAATTGGGTACGACTTTTTTTCATTGGCAGACACAATCATCCATTGAAAAGTACCTAATCCAAAAAATCCAAATTATCAGGAATCCTATAGGCAACAAGTCTGCCGCCCCCATCACCGGGGCTGTGTGCCGTAGCTGCTGTCGAAGCAATATTCAACCCAAGCACGATCGGAACACCAGTTGAATTGGTCCAACTATTCCCCACCGCCTGTATTGCAGTCGAACTGCCGAGCCGGAAGAATGCCTCGCCCGCGCCATCCCAGTAGAACGCCAACCCCGGATAAGAGTACGAAAAGCCGAGAAGAAAGTGTGATGCGTTATCGTTGGTGGTGGGCACGAATCCCGTTATACTGGGGAGAGTGGCGGAGCCGTAGGCGAGGTGGTAGCGGTTTCCCGGCCCAAAGGTTGTGACGACGGGAGCGACGCCGTCGACGTAGTCCATGCCTTCGAATGGGGATCAGTACCGGATGCCGGTCCCATTCAGTGGAGTACTTACTTTCAGTCAAGAGAAGGGCTGCTGCTGCCAGTGCAGTGAGGTCTACTTTCAAACGTCCTTTTATGCAATCCCTGCCAGGTATTTACATGGAACGCGCGCCTTGAGCACAACAGAGGGCATGGCCCGTGACGCTTGAATAAGCGCCCGAATGTGCAGCAGAGTAAGTATTTTGGATGGAGCGCTTGCAGGCACCATCTTTTCCAGTACGTCCGTCCGCGAACTATGCTTCTTCGCTATCATTCATCATTTCTCCCAGTGGTATTTCTAAGGCTACAATGAGAGGTAAGTTTTGTAAGACGGGGAAAATACACCGTCAAGTTTCAACGATGTCCTGAGCTTCCGCCTGCGTGGTATCCGACTTCTTCATTGTAACAGGCGCCACGGTACCTGTTGACAATTTTGGCGCTGCATATATGGATATCAGATTCAAGGAGGAGAGCGGAGAAGGCAAGCTGAAAATGAACAAGTGCGCTTAGCATGTGCAGCAGAGTATTTTGAACTTATCGGCGGAGCAAACCGATGCTTGTGGACATCATCTTCTGTAGACTGTCTGTGCTGTCCACATGACCTCCAGAAGGCGAGAGACGCCGAAGATGAACGGCTCCGACAGGAAGTGCGACCCGAGCCAGGGACGAGACACAGCAGGAATGAACGACGGCGGTGGACTTCAACCGCGAGGACTCGGGATCAGAGGTTGGAGCAAGAATTCGGTAGGAAGGCCGACTCGGAGGATGAAGTCTATGACCATCGGTTTCTTTTTGGTGCAGGGCGTAAAAGGGTTTCTGGGTCGATGTCAGGATTCTTGCTTTGCGTACCAGGAGTCAAATCTGAAGCCAAAAGATTTGATTGGAGTGGGATTCGAACCCACGCCCCGAAAGACCAGATAACCACCGCAGGTAACGGTAACTGCAGAAGATTAGAGAAGCGCCAATTGACGCTGGTCCTTAGTCTGGCGCCTTAGACCGCTCGGCCATCCAACCTGGTGCCACAGGGTTCGAGCTCGTTGTCCAGTCCAGACGGATGCATGAACCTGATGACAATGAGTGTTTGACTTGGATTTCTTCTGCCGTCAGTAGAAGTCTGTGATTCCTCGGAGAAGGTTGAGCGCAGGCCGCAAAGTTGAAAGTATTACTAGACCTGTCGATATATCATATCGGCGTTCGAGAGAGTCGCAGTTCAATATTCAACCACGCATGCACGTGGCTATGAGCTGAAACTCTCCACCCGGAGACACGTATGTATGTAACAACCTGACAAGAATTCAAAAAAAAAACTCGGCGTATCATTCATGACGCGGTGGTCAAGTTCGCATGTAAGTTCGTCACGGTCCCACGGAAATTGAAACTGAAACAGACGGTGGACACACAGTGTATGTATCGACGTGCGACGACGTCAAGCAGCAAGCGAGGTTGACGTTCTTGAATTACCTTCTACGGCATCCCGTCGGCCGCCCGGTCGGCGTCGCTTACTGGTTAGAGCATTCTGTTCAGTGTTGTGGTTATTCACCTTATGACCCGGTTGTATCATGGTGATGCCGCACGCACCACCCGACCCGACCTGCCGTGGTGCGCCTGAGCGGATCCTGACCAGGACGAGGTATATCGCGTTAACTTTTGCGAGCTCGAGAATGTCGATGATCTTGTGCAACGCATGCCAGAGATATCGGAGTTTGGACTCGAAGCACTTACTTATCTCCACGACGTAGATCATTGTCCCTCATCCACGGTGCAGCGTCCCCGGCGTCGGACAACAGGGCTGTAGGCGAGGGCTAGGGCTGCAAAAAGATTCCACCGGAACTGCCGAGCGAGACGGAGATGAGATGCATGTTCGAGTCCACAAGAGATGCTAATTACAAGTCAGGTGAACGGTCCCCGAGTCGGGTCGCACAAAAAGTTGTTTGCATCGGGACGCGGTCGGGGAGTGACGGAGATGCGTACTCTGTTGCTGCTCGCCAACGCAGATAACGCCCCGCGTACGCCGTATGCTCGGCTCCAGCCGAGATGAACTCTGGCCCCTCTGGGTCGGTCTGGGTCAGTCAGTCTTTCGCTGACAGTGACAGACAGGACAGAGAGGAGAGATCTCGCTTGAGGTTGACTCGGCAAGGGAGGCGGGATTCCAGGTGGCTGGGTGCGCTACAAATCGAAATCGGCGCGTTGGGCGTTGATATTCGAATCAAACTCATCTGCGATTTCCACTTGTGTACTTCTGTGCTTGTGCTTTGAACGATTTCACCCAGTTGAAAATGCGGAGATATCCTCGTTGGGAAATTTAACACTGTAGTCTTAAATCAGAGCTGAACAGTTCAACAGGAATTTGCAACCCGTTGCCGAGCAGTAAATTCGATATCGATCTAGGCCAGAGGTCGGTGCTTGCTAGCTCGGCTTGAGAGCGGATTCTTCACCTATCTCAAGTTGAAAGTCAAACTAATCTTGGGGCTTTATAGCTTCTCACCGCTCGTAAACATCCGACCTGCTTTTCTGAACCACCTGTACACTGTCAAACGCCGTCGGTGCTATAAATTCGTTCCACTAGGTTCGGTGGCGTGAGTGGCGTGGTGCGTATTTCAAGCCGCTAGCCCGAGTCAACCCTTTGGTTCGAAACAATAGCAAGACCCTAGCGCGCGGAGAAAATGGCACGGTCATGGGGGTTAGAAACTTAAATGCGGGATCCAAATTTAGAGGCATACAGAGTGTGAATTCCTTCCGTCAAGCCCACCCGAGTCTGGGCTGGTCCAGAAATGCCGATGGAGAAACTGCGCTAGAGATATCAAAGAGCCCGATACTTGCTTGCCACAGGAAGCGCGGGTTTGGAGCTCCCAAGCTGAATGAACCCTCAGAGTCAGCATCTTGGGGTCTATAGTAGTTGAGATTCTCACCGCTCCTAAATAGCCATGGGATTGAGAAGACTAGGTTTCCGAGCTCTCTAACAGCGAACTCTCCCAGACAAAATCTAGACCAAGGACCTATTACCAAACGCCGTCGGTGTTTGAACTTCGGGCGTGGAAGAAGACTCACCCCGTCGTGGCAATACCTGAGTTAATCAGGCAGGAGCTGGGAACTCAGCTGGGAATAATACACATGGCGAATTCGGGGTTGAAGTTGGAGCAGGGAATGAAGGCGCGGGCCCGGCGACACGGGTGTGTACCCCAATGCTGAATCTAGTGTAAATTACCTGTCGTCAGAGATTCAAATTCAATTGTTCACCATGAACGCTCGGACACAGGCCCGGTGGGCACCCCAAAAATTCTCTATCTCCATTCTTTCTAAATCAGTCAGTCGGTGGGGTCGCGAGGCGGCGCCACCAACCGACTATCCCATGTTAAAATGTAATTAACCCCTTGTATTGTGCGAGCAGACGTTGAACTCACTGACTTCCTGGCCAGAAGAAGAATCTACTCGGCTTGAGCCGACGAGAGGACACGCAGTCCTATCGTTATCATCCAGGTCTGGGATTGACGCTCCTAGGACGTGGCGCGAGGAGGGATGGGGAGATTGGGCGGGTATAGCTAGAGCTCGGCAGCAAGAAGCAGGAAGCAATCAAGGATTCAGGTCAAGTATGAGCTTGAACGCCGCATCGTCGCTGATCAGGGGAATTCAGATTCCATTCAATTCAATCCGAGTGTAGCATGCAGTCCAGTGTGCTTCCACGGAATCTATTTCGAGTCATCTCGGGCGCATGCACCCTCGCACCCGACCCTCCGAGGACCGAGGGTGAGTGCTATAAACGCGACAGATCCCAGGAATTGAATGCGCCACCCGACAAGTTGAGCCTAGATTGAACCTAGATCAAATTAAGAGCCAAGATAAGAGCTCACAGAAGTCCAAACGTGAGCCCGAGTACATGGCTTCTTTCTGATGAATGCCGACATTGAGCCAACTTGGGGCCGAGCGCCAGCATTCTTTCTTCTGTGTTGGTACTGGCTAAGTTTCGAGGATGGACATTGGAGGAAACGGAAAGTACCGAGACTACCAGCTGTAGCCTAGTCCTCGGGACTGTCCCTCCCTTCGCGGTAATGGACGATTGAGCATGAGAGTAATACTCGTCGACCGGAGTACGGATTTTGCGGCAGGGTGCTTCACATCGGCGGTATTGCAGGCAAGAAAATACCGTGGGAGGCCACCCGAAGACAAGGAGCAGCAACCACGGCGGGGGTAAACCAGCCGAGTTATCCTATCCTTCCTTCCTTCCATTGTCCGGCAAAGATACCCGATTCTTCCCGTTCGCACTTGCTCTTTTTCTTCACGCGAGCACCGGGACGTCAGAGAGCGAGTATCGAGTCACTGCAGTCAAGCGCCCGTTCGAACATTCTTGTCAAAAAAGAGCACCTCGAGTCCATTTTGGAGATAACGAGAGCGTGTCTCACCCACACACGGATGCTCTGTGGTATGTAGAAATTCTTCGCGCGGACACCGGCAAGCTTCGGCCGTCAAGATTCGCGAGAAATCCAAGTGGCGGGAAGTTGGGCGCGGGAACGGTCCAATAGCTTACGCGGAGAAGATACGCGTTCGTCGCACAGGACTGGGTTAGCTCCCTTCGCGGTAATGAACAATGAATGCTGAGCGTCGGAATGCATGGTCGAGTCGATGCGTCAAACCGCCCAGTCGAAGAGAATACAGAATACACGTGAGCACCGTCTTCTCTTCCCCATCAGCAACACGGTATTCTCACCCAAGGACGGAGGCTCTCACCAGCGGTCCACGAATCAAACTTCTTGGGCGTCGGGGAGTACGCCGTCCATCCGGAATTGCCAACGTTCGTGTGTTTGTGGCGTCGCATTGTGATTGAGTCGAGTGGCGAGACTTGGATACAAAGTCAGTCTCAGGCTGTGTGGACAATCTCCAGATCTGTCCAATGTCACATTGGAGTGCACTTAAGCGAGACGGGGGGTGGGAATCACAGATACCGAAATGACAGAAAGATGGATCGAGGAAGCAGTGGAAGCAAGGAACGGAAGTAAAAATTAGAATGCCGGAAGAACATCTTGATGAGGTGGCGCCGAATCCCGATGGCAGCTGATCATGATGACCGTCGCCACGTCGGTGCCGATTGTCGCATGCCGAGGGGAGGGTGTTATTCGAGGATGCAGTTGCGAGCTGTACATATGTAGGAAGAGGAAGAAAGAGAGAATGCACAGCTTGATTTCGGGTCTCTGATAATTTGATGGTTTCCTTTAGAGTCTGGAATCACGCCGTGGTCCACTGGCAACAACTCTTGACTAGTATATCGGTTCAGTACACCCGCTTGTCATTCATTTCTATTGTTGTCTCCGCGGGAGAGCAGGGTTCGACTCCCTGGTCGAGAGTACATTTTTTCTATTTCTCAAAATCCTTTCAGGCACTCCGCTCACGTTCCCTTCAACGATGCCTCTCCGACAACCGCGTACAAACGTGACGCGCCTGCTCATGAGACCACTTTAAACCCTGTGGAGGCCAACCCCCTGTGGAGGCCATCCTTGGCCTGATCATGAGATGTCAGCTGTCCTTTTCCTCGACCACCACTACTGGCTAACGGCATCCCAACCTTTCTCCTGCCGACAATCGTCTTTGATGTTGTGTTCACGTCCATGCTACCCTGTCTGTGTCTTCCTTATCTCTCGGGTGAAATGTTCTTTGCTTTTTCTGAATGGGTTCTGTTTCTCGTGTCATGCAAGGTCTCTCATCACTGTATTCCCTTCTTCTCAATGGATCTCCCTGGAGATACAGATTGCGCAATTCTTCGGACTCGTCGATCTGGTTCTTGTTCTTCTTGTTTCTCATGTCGGGGTCCCGACCGCCGGCGGCCGACGCGCAAAGCAGACCCATGGCCCAAAGTCTCCCTGCGCGCCACCAACAATTGACATTCGATCGCACTCTTTTCTTAAAAAAGTTTGGGCGGTTACTCATTGAAGTGCGCTACCTGAAAGGTCTGCAGAAGCATTCCCCCAGTAGGCCCGCTTCTTTAGGGATTCGAACCCACGGGTTCCTGGTTACAGCCCTTTTTCATCAACTGTAACTGGGCCGATGGTTACCGCTAGACTAGGATCGCACTCTTTTCTTATCTCAAGCGTCTGTGAACTTTTGTCTGTCTTGTCTCTTGTCTTGCATATTTCGGCACTGCGGTGCCAGAGATTGGCTTTGCGCGAGACAACCCAGTGCTTTGGTCTATCACTCCCACGAACGGACTCGGAAGCGACCCCGCCGACCACGGTCGGTACAAATTTAACTAACCGATTCCGAGCCCGCCCTGTCGCGTGAAAATATCGCCAGTGATCTCTTGCAAGGAGCCCGCCAGTGCCAGCACCCTTCCTTGGTCGACTGGTCGAGTCCGCGAGTCTCGTCTGATCTTCTAGGGGTCCACAGACTCATTGAATGTCATGTCGCCATTCAATTTCCCTCGAGCGCGCGCTCTAGCATGCATCCAGAACGCTCGAAGACTCGTTGCCGTCCAGCCGCATCCCCTCTCCGTCTGCCAGTGCCACGAGTACCAGCCAACGAACAACAAAATCAGACATGCAGGTACCAAAAAACTCTCAAGGCGTCTTCCCTTTGCTCCACAAGCACGTCATTTATGACGGTCGAAAAAGAAAAGTACCAATATTATCGAGGGCTAGCCAGGTCTATGGGCTATCTACGACCACCACTGGGCCTTTACATACTCGCTCGCTCTCACCCACCCACCTACCCTTCCTTCGTTCCGTCGTTCGCTCCCCCGCCTTTCCCCCTCTGCTTCTTTCCCTCTCTCAAACGCACCACCACTCATCCACGTACTCCAATCCCTTATCGACGTCGACACGCCCTACACCCTCAACACTCGACTCCACTCCCCAAAGCAGCCAAGAACCAAAACCGTCTCAAGCCGCCCCCTCTAGAAGTCTCGACCACCCCTCACCCTCGTGGCTCAACGTGGCGCCTCCCCTCTCCCCAACGTGGCACCCCGATGAGATTTCCCCTTCCCTCCATTTCTCCTCAATCACCGAAAATCCCAATCCGGCTACATAGATACGCAATTGCAAATCGCTCGTATTCATTTCATCTATTCGTTCAGATTCATTCATCTTCATCCCAACTAATAAAGTACTCTACTACACTCTAAATCGTTCGTAGTCGTCAAAGAAATAATAATATACGTGCAATCAGTCAGTCTAGTGCGTGCGTGCGTGCGTGTAGATATGGTATGTAGACAAGATATCGATGAGCGGGTGTAAATCAAAAAAGGAGGCGGGGAGGCGGAACAGAAAGGGGGAGAAACGAAAACGGAAATCATTTCAATCCTCCTACTGTATGTAGTAAGCCCGTCTGTCCGTCCGTATGCTATTGGTATTCGTATTCGTATTCGTATTCCGGCGTGCAATCGAGTGTCCGCGTCATATAGTAGGCCAGCAACAAGGGATGAGATGCGATTGGTCGTTTGGTGGTAAACGGAGATTGGATTGCAGCGGAGTAAGAATCGAAATCCGTACTCTATCATACAAACCGATCCGCCGTCGGGAGCCAAAGCCAAGACAAGGGCGACCCATCTATCCATCCGTCCGTCTTCTTCGTCTTCTTCTTCTCCTAGGTCGCCGTCGTCGGTCGTCGTTCGAAGCAAGTGTGTGTGTGAGAGAGGCAGGGCAGATTGTGCGTGCGTATGCGGATGTATGTATGTATATACAAATGTGAATTGTGTGGTGTGGCGCCGAGGAGGAGACGGAGGGTCGGAAAGAAGAAAATATGCATAAGATAACCAAAATAGATGTGGGCTGGCGGCGGTGAAGTGAGGTGGTGGTGGTGGTGGTGGTGGTGGTACAACAACAGCTTGATATAAACAAGAAACGAATGAAAGCATGCATATAAGTGCGGGGTGGATGGATTGGATGGTGATGGGAGGGTAGCACTCGAGGTCGTCCCGGTCGTAGCGCCTTTTATTCGTCTCGTCTCGTGTATTTGTCGATTTTTGTTCTCTTCAGACCTTCAAAGCCTGCGCACCCCCGGCACCCGCAAAACACCACTGCTGCAAAAATGCCTTGTACAAACTCGACGAAGCGTCCGCACCCGCAGGGCTCAACGGACTCATCGGCACGTCGTCAACGGACGGCGTCAACGCAGTAGTAGGAGTCGTCTCCATCTCCACGTCAGGCTCAGGCGAAGGCGGCAGTGGGACGTCGGCAGCGTCGTCGAAAAGCACCTTGAGCACAGCCCCAGCGCCCACAGGACTCGTTGGCGGTGTGTCGTCCCCAGGCAGAGTGGACGACGCCACAGACGACGCGTCATCTTCCTCTTCGACGGGAGCAGGAGCAGGAGGGGGCGTGGAAGACGTGCCCCAAGGCCAATAAAGCCCCACCGGCTTCGTCTCGGGTACAGCAGCAGGCGGCGAGACCTTTGTCGGTGCTGCATAGTTCCTGAGCTGCAGCTTTCCAAGCTTGGCCGCAAGAGCCTGCGCATGGGCAGACCGCGGTGGTGGAGGAGGATGCGTGGGATGGCTAGGGTGGACTGATGAAGTCGAGTAGGGTGGCGTATGTGGTCCGGTGAACGAAGAGTGGGAGTGGGTCGGGGAGATGGTGGGTGAAAAGACAGGCGCAGCAGGCGCGTCGTCCATCATCATCATACTGCCGCCCGAGGTCGGGAACGGTATAACGCTCACAGTAGACTCTGCAGTTTCGTTAGCACAAACTCGACCCGAAGAATAGAATGACTCACCCTCGACTTTCGCAGGCGGCGTTACAACGGGGGCAGGTGGAGGTGGAGCGGGCTCTACATCCTCGTTAGCGTCTTTTCCCAAGAACGAAAGAATAACTCACCATCGTCGTGGACGACCTGGAACACGACAACGTAATTGGTCCCTCCATTGTTGTCCCACCACTCGCCAGACCCGCCACCGCCCGTGCCAACCCAATACTTGCTCTGGGACGCTGCATGAGGATTCGATACAAGTGAATCTAGGACAAGGCACGTCAGGGGTCAAGACGAAAAAGAAAGACAAGATCACGACTCACCACTCCATACGTAAGGCGCGACGCTGCCCCTCTCGACCCAAGGCATCCAAACCCTGACGACCATCTCCAGCCTCCTCCCCTCCAGCCCCCTGCCGCGTCGACCACCAGCAGCAGCGTAGTCGGTCAACCGAATCTCCCAAGTAAAGCGATCCCACCCAGGACCCGCCTCCTCCTCCTGGGGCGTCACAGCCTCCAACCACTTTGCGCAAACCTCGCTCGTCGTCGACCACCCATCAAGGGTGAACCGCACATAGACGTGCTTCTCAAAGGCCGCGTTGCGGGCGATCAGCGTGCCCTTGAGCTTTACCTCGCCTTCGCGCGTCGTCGAAAAGGAAGGCTGGCAGAGCTCAGCGCTCTCCAGGAAAACCATGCTCTCCCGACCAGGAACGCGCCCAACCAGAGCAGGTCCATCGAGCGCATACCGCCAAGGCTTGGCTTGCGCCATGAATTGCGACGGTATGGGAGGCCGTAGAGGGCTGCCACCAGCAGCCAGACGAGGGAAAGGGAAACCCTCCCCATCTCCAGCTGCACGTCCACCATTCCCGAGACTCGCACTTCTCCATCGGACACCGACATCACGATCTGTTTCAGTCTCGGTCTCCGTGTCCTCTGAGCCCGGGACGACCGAGCCCAGTGAGACCGCTGCTGGTCGGGCACCGCGGCGAAAGAGGAGGACCGTCTCGAGTCCTTCGGACGGGGCTGGGAAATGCACCGCCTTGGGGGTGCCGGGTGAGAATGGTGAGCCGTCGCCGCCCATTTGGTCCCAAGGATTCTGGTCGTCCTCGGCGTCAGAGTTGGACGCAGAAGAAGACGCGAGGGAGGAGAGCGAGGAGGAGAGGGAGGGTGTCGAGGGGGCTGAGCGCGCACGAAGATGCTGCGAGGGAGCACTCATGTGTGGAGCGCTGGATGACGATTTGAGGGATGATTTGAGCGGTTTGCCGTTGGAAAGTAGGATGACGGGGTGCGAGGCCGTGCGCGCAGGACCTGCAGGCCGCTGGGGAGTCGGTAGGGGACTGAGCAGCGTGGGACTGGGGACGGGTGAAGAGCGAGGGAAGGGCACCGCGACGTTGATGCTCGAGCTTGGAGGGGACCGTTTACGGACATAGGTGGTTGGAGGCGTGAGTCTGAACGCTGGCTGGGGCTGCTTGAGACGTAGCGGGGGTGGGGGCCCATCGTCCTCGTCGTCATGCTTGTCGTCACTGCTCTCGCTGCTGTCGTCCTCGTCTGCGCGAAAGTGAAACTGGGCGGGAGAGCGAGAGCGACGTGGCAAAGAGCCTAGAGGCGTGAACGCGCCATGGTTGGTGGGGTCGTTGGCCGCAAAGGTGTAGGAACGACGGTGGCTTGGGCGAGGA